GGAAGACACGGAAAATTTATTTAATTGAACCAGTGTATTCAAATAAGATAAATACAAAGATCAAGAAATTCAGTAATAAGCAGATAGAGGTGTACGGCCGAACGAATTTATTAACACTGCGTCTAAATATTACCCCCACCACCACGAGGGAATATGTGGCACAAGGGATTTTACCTTGAGGCCTGGAGCTCAACTAAAAATATTACTTCGAATCCGTATAAACGGTTCAGGGGTCTATCTACCTAAAGACGAAACTCTGCCCTTTCCATGAATCCTGGTTCCTCCTGCCAAAGCACAACAGTCCGACAGTATATAACAAGCCAGAGAGTGCGAAATGAATCCCCCAACCTTCTTTCGATTTTATATAATATATATCGAAATAAAAAGTTTCAAATTCGAAAATTATAATGTTTTAAAGAAAGTATTTATTTATTTATATATATATTTGATATTTCAAATTGTCCTCAATTTTCATCAAAAATAACTTTTTTTTACAAATAAATTAAAATTTTTGTTTGTTAGCAAATAGCGTCCTTCGCGAAAAGACGCGGAAAAACGTGATATGGAACGTCACTGTTGGGATATTCCCTAAAAATCTAACTGTCAAAAATATTTAAAACAATTTTTTTACTATATCTAAAAAAATATATATATATTTGGTTGGATAGATGTGAGTTTGTGACCCTGGATTCACACTTTAGAAAAATCAAGAAACTGATGCAACCGTAGTTGAAAACTCACATCTATCCAAAAAACATCTATCTCTGATATTGAGGCTTTCTAATAAAAATGGATATATAAATAATTATACATATATATATTTATTTATATTTATATGGAATATATATATATATATATATATATATATATATATATATATATATATATATATATATATATATATATATATATATATATTTTTTCATTAAAAAATGAAAGATATTACGGTTAAGCCTTTATGAGAGGAGGAAGAGTTCATTCTACTGTAGGAGGGTTTGCCACAACAGAAAGAATGAATGAAAGAAAGGCAGAAAGAAAAAAAACAAACGTTGAAAGAAAGAAAGAAAGAAAGAAAGAAAGAAAGAAAGAAAGAAAGAAAGAAAGAAAAAGCAATGTTGAAAGAAAGAAAGTTAGAAAGAAAGAAAGAAAAAGATTCTCCAGAACAAAACTTTGCAAAACAAGTCCGTACTTGTTGTTCTGTTATGACTCCTTAACCATACACGCAATACACACGTCACTACAAGTTTCCAAAAATAGAAATTACTTACGACTCCAGAAAGAAAGAAAGAAAAAGAAATGTTGAAAGAAAGAAAAAGATTCCCCAGAACGAAATTTTGCAAAACAATTTCATACTTGTTGGTTTGTTAAGAATCCTTAACTATAAACGCTACCTACTTTTTCTTCATGTCTTCATAGAATTATTTTCTTGCTTGAATTCCAATAACATTGTGTGACGTAAACGCACTCCCATTTCCTTCATTGGTCGAATTAACATATTTCTTCTTTAACACATTGTGCACGCTGCTCTTCCCGTGAAAAACTAATGTATGTTAGTGTATTCCAAATTTATTCTTGACTGTCATCTGTGATTAGGGCAATACATACGTCACTACAACAAGTTTCCCCAAATAGAAATTACTTACGACTCATCCTAACATTTTGAGCAAAGATTAACCCCGCTAAACATTTTTGAGAAAAACAGTTATTGCCATGTTTATAAGAAGATATTGCATAAACACCCTGACGTGCAGAAAATGCAGCAAAGGCAATGATTGGTGCATATGAATAACACCGAGTCGCACTTCTTCAGGGGTCTTCAGGTCCTAACAGCAGGTGTTTAATGTTGCAAATTTAAAACTTTTAAATATCGAATCTCAGTGGGGGGGATGCAAGCGAAATATAACATTAAAAGTTCATTAGATGCTGAATACCCAGAGGGTATGGAGTGAGGGGTGGGGCGGACTCAGTGAGAATGAAGTGAGAGACGGAAAGAAAAACGAAGGAATTTTAAAAAAAATAAATAAATAAATGCCAGGTCGGAGTTTAGAAGGAAGATGAACTAAAGCCGAAAATATTAAATGTAAAGGGGAGGAAAAAGGGGAGGAAAATCGTTCGGATGAATGAAGACAGAAGGACGAAAAAGAGAAGAAAAAATCGAGTGAAAAAAAAAAACTGGATAGGGTTTTAGAAAAAAAAGGTCAAAAAATGAATAAAGGTTGAAAAAGTAACTTCGGATTAAAGAAAGATATGAAATGGAAGAACGTATGAGAAAAAAAAAAAAAGAAAGAAAATCAGGGAGAATGATGATAAAGAAAGCCAAGAATGGAAGGAATAGATAAAAAGGATGTAAGTGTCGAAAGAAAAAATGAAAGGGAATGGTGTAGTGAAGAGGATAGACCAAAGGGTATAAAATCAAAGACAGAAAAGAAAAGAAAATAAAAGAAAGAAAAGAAAAGAAGAAGAACAAACAGGAATATAAAGAAAAGAAAAGGAAAAAAAGTTGGAATATTCAAAAAAGAAAAAAAAGAATGAAAGCGTTTGAATATTAAAAAAAAGAGAAAAGTGTGAGAATATTAAAAAGAAAGAAAGAAAAGAAAAGAAAAGAAAGAAAAGAAGGATGAAAGAAAGAAAGAAAAATGAAATAAAGCGTGTGAATATTAAGAAAGAAAGAAAGAAAGAAGGATGAAAGAAAGAAAGAAAAATGAAATAAAGCGTGTGAATATTAAGAAAGAAAGAAAGAAAGAAAGAAAGAAAGAAAAAAGAAAGAAAGAAAGAAATAATGAAAGACAGAAAGAAAGAATAAAAAGAAAGAAAGAAAAGAAAAGAAAATGCTTATACTCGGAAGGAAGAATGAAGAAAAGAAAGAAAGAAAAGAAAGAAAGAAAAAAAAAAAATGAAATAAAGCGAAAGAATATTAAGAAAAGAAAAGAAAGAAAAGAAAAAAGAAAGAAAAAAAAGAAAAGAAAAGAAATAATGAAAGACAGAAAAGAAAAGAATAAAAAGAAAGAAAAGAAAAGAAAGAAAATGCTTATACTCGGAAGGGAAGGAAGAAAAGAAAGAAAGAAAGAAAAGAAAGAAAGAAAGAAAGAAAGAAAGCGTGTGAATATTAAAAGAAAAAAAAGAAAAGAAAAAAAGAAAGAAAGAAAAGAAAGAAAGAAAGAAAAAAGAACGAACGAACAAAACATAAACAAAGAAAAAAAAAAAAAAAACAAAGTTGGAATATTAAAAAAAAAAAAGAAAAAGAATGAAACGAGCGTTTGAATATTAAAACAAAGAGAAAGTGTGAGAATATTAAGAAAGAAAGAAAGAAAGAAAAAAAAAAAAAGAAAAGAAAGAAAAGAAAGGATGAAAGAAAAAGAAAGAAAAATAAAAATAAAGCGTGTGAATATTAAAAGAAAAAAAGAAAGAAAAAAAAGAAAAGAAAAAATTTGAAAAAAAAAAAAAAAATATTGAAAAGAATGCCAGAACACATTAGTCGATTAGCCAAACACAAAAAAAAGAAAGAAGAAAAGAAAAAAAAAAAAAAAGAAAAGAAAAGAAAAAGGAAGGAAGGATGAAAGAAGAAAAAAAAATAAAATAAAAGCGTGTGAATATTAAAAAGAAGAAAAAAAGAAAAAAGAATAAATAAAAAGAAAAAAGAAAGAAAAGAAAAGAAATAGTATCTTTGTAGTCGAAAAACAATTGTGACAAAGAAAAAAAAAAAAAAATGGATCAAAGGGTAACGGAAGAAGAAAAAAGAAACTTCTAAAAGTTTCAAAAAAAAAAAAAAAAGGGAATTGCAGATGAAAGAACAGAGAAATAGGTATGTGCTGAAGAAGAAAGAAAAAGAAAGAACGAAGTGAAAGAATAAATGAAAAGAAGGAAAGACAGAACAAAAATGAAAAAAAAAGAAAGGTGAAAAAAAGAAGAAGAAAGAAATTAAATCAAACAGAACAGAAAAGCATATTTCAAAGAAGAAAAGATTGAAAGAAAGAAAAAATTGAAAGAATGGAAAAAAGTGAACTGTGTAAGGAAAAGGACAGAAAAAAGGAAATAAGTGTCGAAGAAAGAAAAAAAAAGAAAAGAAAAAAGAAAGAAAAAAAGAAAGACAGGAAAGAAGAATTGTGTTAAAAAGAGAACAGAAATGGAAGAACATTATGTGCAGAAAAAAAAAAAAAAAGTAAAAAGATTGTGTGTGAGAAAGAACAGAGAAAAGAGCATAAGTATCGAAAGAAAGAAAGAAAAGAAAGAAAGAAAAAAAGAAAAAAAAAAGAAAGAAAAATGGTTTAGGAATTGAAAAACAGGTATATGAACGAAGAAAAAAAGAAAAAAAAGAAAAAAAAAAGAAAGAAAAGAAAAAGAAAGGAAGGGAATGGTTTAGGAAACGATAGAAATATATGCGTAGAAGAAAAAAGAAAGAAAGAAAGAAAGAAAGAAAAGAAAGAAAAAAAAAAGAAGGGAATGGTTTAGGAAGACGAGAAAAGAAAATATGCGTAAGAAAGAAGAAAGAAAAGAAGAAAAGAAAGAAAGAAAGAAAGAAAGAAAGAAAGAAGGGAATGGTTTTAGGAAGACGATAGAAACGGGTATATGCGTAGAAGAAAGAAAGAAAGAAAGAAAGAAAGAAAGAAAGAAAGAAAGAAAGAAGGGAATGGTTTTAGGAAGACGATAGAAACGATTATATGCAAGAAGAAGAAAGAAAAGAAAAGAAAGAAAGAAGAAAGAAAGAAAGAAAGAAAGGGGAATGGTTTTAGGAAGACGATAGAAACGGGTATATGCGTAGAAGAAAAAGAAAAGAAAGAAAAGAAAGAAAGAAAAAGAAAAAAAGAAAAGAGAGAATGGTTTAGGGAAGACGATAGAAACAGGTATATACGTGAAGAAAGAAAAAGAAAGAAAGAAAGAAGAAAAGAAAGAAAGAAGAGGTGTTTTAGGAAGAGGATAGCAAGGTATAAGCGTGAAGAAAAGAAAAAAGAAAAGAAAGAAAGAAGAAAGAAGAAAAAGAAAAGAAAGAAGAAGGAATTGTTTTAGGAAGAGGATAGCAACAGTATAAGCATAGAAAGAAAGAAAGAAAGAAAGAAAAAGAAAAGAAAGAAAAAAAGAAAAGAAAAAAAAGAAAGAAAAATTGTTTTAGGAGGGATAACAACATTATAAGCGTGAAAAAAGAAAAAAGAAAGAAAGAAGAAAAGAAAGAACGAAGAAAGAAAAGAAAATTGTTTTTTAAAGGAGAGGATAGTAACAGGGTATAAGCGTGAAAGAAAAAGAAAGAAAAAGAAAAGAAAAGAAAGAACGAAAGAAGAAGAAAAGAAAAGAAAGAAATAAGGGAATTGTTTTAAAGGAGAGGAGGAAACGGATGTATAAGCGTTGAAAGAAAAAGAAAGAAGAAAAGAAAGAAAAGAAAGGGTTGTGTAAAGAAAGAGGGACAGAAACTGGTATAACTGCCGAAGGAAAACAACGATTGAAAGAAAAAAATCGTGTTTTAAAAGAAGAAATTGAAGAAAGACAAAAAAACACGTAAAAGAAGAAAGAAAAAGGATTAAAAGCGAATATAAAAAGAAAGTCGAGAGAAAGAAGGGAAATAAATGAAAGAAGCAGAGTAAAAAAAAAGAAAAAAAGCAAGGAAAAAAAAAATGTTACAGAAAAAAATTAAAAAAGCCCCCCGAAACAAAAGGAAGAATAAAGGAAAGAAAAAGAAGAATAAAGGAGAAAAAAGAAAAGAAAGGAAAAGAGAGTATAGAATTGTAAGTAGACAGAAAAAATAAAAATGAATAAATAAAAGAAATGAAGTACAAGAAAGGAATCAATGAAAAAAGAAGGGAATGAATAAGAATAGGATAGTAAAAGATGAGAGAAAAGATTGAAAAAAAAGAAAGGGTGTTTAAAGAAAGAGGGAAAGAAGGAATCATTGTATAAGCGAGAAAAGAAGAAAGGATCGAAAGAAAGATGAAAAGACTTCGAGCAAAGTCAAGGAAGGGAGGTATTGTCTAAGACCGATAATAAATCATATTGTTTCCTAAAGGGAGAGGATAGTAACATGTGTTTGCCGAAGAAAGAAAGAACAAAAGGAAAGAAAAAGAAAAAAGAAAGGAAAGAAGAAGAAAAGAAAAAGAAAAAGAATTGTTTTTAAGGAGGATAGTAACATGTATAAGGATATAGAAAGAAAAGAAAAGAAAGAAAGAAAAGGAAGAAAGAAAGGAAGAAAGAAAGAAAAGAAAAAGAAAGAAAAAAAGGAAAAAAAAGGAGGGATAGTAACATGTATAAGGGAAAGAAAAAAAAAAGGAAAAGAAAAGAAAGAAACGAAAAGAAAAGAAAGAAAGAAAAAAAGGAAGGAAGTAACATGTATAAGAAAAGAAAAAGAAAGAAAAGAATAGAATAGAGAAAAAAGGGTAAGGATCGAAGAAAAAAAAGGGTGTTTTAAAAATGAAAGAAAAAGAAAAAGAAAAAAGAAAGGAAAAAGAAGGAAGAAAAAAGAAAGAAAGAACAGATTGTTTTAACATAAGGATCGAACATGTATAAGCGTGAAAAGAAAGAAAGAAAAAAAGAAGAAAAGAAAAGGAAAAAAAGAAAAGAAAGAAAAAAGGGAATTGTTTAAAGGGAGAGGATAGTAACAAGTACAGAAAAGAAGAAAGAAAGAAAGTAGAAAGAAAAGAAAGAAAAGAAAGGAAGAAAGAAAGAAAGAAAAAGAAAGAAAGAAGAAAGAAAGAAAGAAAGAAAGGAAGGAAGAAAGAAAGAAAGAAAGAAAAGAAGGTGTTTTAAAGGAGAGGATAGTAACAGGTATAAGCGTAGAAAGAAAGAAAGAAAGAAAGAAAGGGAAGGAAGGAAGAAAGAAAAGAAAAGAAAGAAGGGAATTATTTTAAAAAGGGAGGATAATAACGTATAAGCGTAGAAAGAAGAAGAAAAAGAAAGAAAAAGAAAAAGAAAGAAAGAAGGAAAGAAAGAAAGAAAGAAAAGGAATTGTTTTTAAAGGAGAGGATAGTAACGGGTATAAGCGTAGAAAAAAAAGAAAGAAAAGAAAAGAAAAAAAAAAAGGATAAAAAGGAAGGAAAAAAGAAAGAAAGAAAGAAAGGGTTGTTTTAAAGGGAGAGGGATAGTAACATGTATAAGCGTATAAAGAAGAAGAAAAGAAGAAAAAAGAAAAGGAAGAAAAGAAAGAAAAAAAGAAAGAAAGGTGTTGTTTTAAGGAGAGGGATAGTAACGAATTATAAGCGTAGAAAGAAAGAAAAGAAAAAAGAAAGAAAAGAAAGGAAGAAAGAAAAGAAAAGAAAGAAGGGAATTGTTTAAAAAGGAGAGGGGATAGTAACGGGTATAAGCGAAGAAAGAAAGAAAGAAAGAAAGAAAGAAAGAAGGAAGAAAAGAAAGAAAGAAAGAAAGAAAGAATTGTTTTAAAGGAGAGGAGGTAACGGGTATAGGAGAGGAAAGAACGAAAGAAAAAAGAAAGAAAGAAAAAAGAAAGGAAGGAAGAAAGAAAGAAAAAGGGAAAGGAAAAGTGAAGCGTAGAAAGAAAGAACTAAGGGAATTGTTTTAAAAGGAGAAAAGGATAGTAACGGGTATAAGCGTGGAAAGAAAGAAAAGAAAAGAAAGAAAGAAAGAAAGAAAGAAAGAAGGGAATTTCCCACCGAGACTGCAGGTAAATCCCCAACCCAATGTTTTCAATTTACATTTCAGAATCATGGGCGAAGGATAATTTGGAAATAACTTCAGTCAGACAACAATAATTTATGCAATAAAATATAAACGAAAATACACACACACACAGTCGCGCATGCGCTCACTATATCCACTGTAAAAATGTAAGTAATAAAAGTTTCGGATTGACAATAAAATCCTTTTTTTTTTTAATAACATATCAGGATCAAAATTGAGAACAAACAGTTTAAAGTTCATGTGTCTCCTGTTTTTGTTTAAGTACTTTCAACAAATCATAAATCATTGTAAGGACCTGTGTCAGCGTGGTAAGATTCCATATCTCGTCAACTCTACTTATCGAAGAGTTGAATGTTTGAAAATGTCCAAAGAGGCATCATGCCTAACGGTTAATGCGAGTGACACTGCACGAGAAATAATTCGCCAAATATTCCTTAAACATGGAAAGCGACATGAGAACAATATATCGTGTGGTGGAATAAAGTTTAATTCTAACCTAAATACAACGTCGAAATTATATATATATATATATATATATTGTAAATGGAAGTACATAAGATAAAAATATTTAAGTAAATGCTCTGTTTATAATAAAAACACTATTAACAACATTTACTGGCCTGAATGTCCAAGAAATTTTTTAGAAAATATTGTCCTCAGTGAGAAATTCAAACCTGTATCCTATACGGAACCAATATATATTGACGTGCCTTTACCGATTTAGTTACGAAGACGCGTTTCGTTAGCAAGGTCGATTTTACTGATTTTTTGCTAACGGAAAACTTCCATGAATCTTTTCCCATAGATATCCAACCGCTTAAATACCTTTCTAAGCGTATCAAATGTAAACAAATGACGGTTGAAATTGCAGAATAGTGACAATCTTGTTCAAACAATTATTGAATGCATTTTTACTTTTTGGAAAGTAGGAATTCCCGTTTTCTCCTCCAATTGTGGGACCTCATGTTAACTGTACCAGTGAATTAACATTACAAAAAACCACTGGTAGAAAAAAACATAATCGTAAATATAACATACATTTAGACTATATTTTAATCTTTCCAGCCAACATCGATCTTCAAAAATTTAAATGTAACCATTTGTGCTTTCGTGGCTTTTTTACCTTGCTTCGGATGAAATGATTAATGTATATCTATAAAGAATAATGTTGAAGAAATGGAAACACAAAAAGACAGAAAGCAAGAAAAAAGTAGGACAAAAAGAAGGAAAGTAAGAAAGAATGAAAGGAAAACGTTGAGAGAAAAGAAAAAAATACAAAAATCTAAAAGAATGTTTCAAAGTAAAATGAATAAAAAAACGCTGAAAGAAATAAAAAAAAACGTAACAAGAAAAGAAAGAAAAAGAAAGAAAGAAAGAAAAAAAAGAAAAAAAGATTTGAAAATGAAAACATTGAATAAATAAGAAAAAATAAAAACAATATTAAGAACGAAAGAAATAACAAAGAAAAGAAAGAATGAATGAATATAAAAAAAAGAAAAACGTTCAAAGAAATAAATAAAAAGTGACACGAAGAACGAATGAATAAAAGAAAAACGTTGAAAGAAAGAAAAAGAAAATTGAAAGAATGCAAATTAAAAAGAGAGAAAGAAATAATGAAGGAAAAACGCCGAGAGAAAAAGATACAAAACGTAAAAAGAAAGAAATAAAGAAAGAAAGAAAAGAATGAAAGATAAAAAAAGTTGAAAGAAAGAAAGATAAAAGAGAACGGAAGAAAGAAAAAAGAAAAAAGAAAACTCAAAGAGAAAGAAAGAAAGAAACTAAAAGAAAAGAAACGTAAAATGCAGCGACAAAACAAAAAAAATGAATAAAATGTAGAAAAACGTTGTAAAAAAGAAAAGTAAAAAGAACGAAAGAAAGAAAGAAAGATAAGCAGGAAGAAAGAAAGAAAAAAGAAAGAAAGAACGAAAGAAAGAAAGAAAAAGAGAGAAAGAATGAGAGGAAGAAAGAAAAAGACAGATAGAATGAAAAAGTAAAAAAGTAAAAAGAAAGATAGAAAGAATGAAAGAAAGTCAGAGGACATGAAATAAAACGAAAGAAAGACAGATAGAAAGAAAGAAAGACGGAATAAAAGGAAGGAAGGGAGGGAGGGAGGAAGGAAGGAAGGGAGGAAAAAAGGAAGGAAGAAAGGAAGGAAAGAAAGAAAGAAGGAAGAAAGGAAAATAAAATAAAATAAAATAAAATAAAATGTCAAACAAAAGAAAGATAGAATAAGAGATGGAAAAGCGTTGAAAAAGAAAGAAAGAAGTGGAGAAAAGAATATCAGATAGAAAGACAGAAAAAAGATAGAAAAAGACAGGAAGAATGAAAGAAAGAAAAAAGAAACAATGAAAAAATGAATGAAATGAAAAAAAAGAAAAAGAAAGATGGAAAGAATAAATGAAAGAAACAGAGAAAGACAGACAGAAAGAAAGAATAAAAGAAAGACGGAAAGAATCAAAGTGAGAAAGAAAGAAAGAAAGACAGAAAGAAAAGAAAGAAAAAAAAAATAAAAGAAAGAAAAGAAATGAAATAAGTTTTGAAGAAAAGAAAAAGAACGGAGAAAAAGAGAAAAAAAAAAGAAAAAAAGACAGAAAAAAAGAAAAAAAAAACAAAAACCAAATTAAAGAAAGAAAGAAAGAAAGTAAAAGAAAGAATTAAAAAAGAAAGAAAAAAATAAAAAAAAAAAAAATGCATGAGGGAAAGCCACTAACAGACAGAAAGAGGGAAAGAAAGAAAGAAGAAAAGAAAGACGGAAAGAAATATATACTATGAAATAAGAAAAATAAAGTGGAAAAAAAAAACGGAAAAGAAAAAAGAAGAAAAAAAGCAAGAATGAATGAAAGAAAAAAAAAGTGAGAATGAATCAAACAGAAAGACAGGACACATGAAATAAAGATGGACAGAAAGACAGAAATAGAAAAGAAATAAATCAAAGAAAGAAAAGGAAGAAAGATTGATGGGGAATGTTTCCAATGAAATACAGAAACAAATAACAAAAAAATTGAAAAAAAAGAAAGAAATAAAGAAAGACAGAAGAAAGAAGGAAAAAGGTATGAAATAAAAAAAGAAAAACTGAAAATCATGAAATAAAAAAGAAAAAAAAAATAATAAAGAAATTTATAATGAAAAGAAAAGAAGGGAAAGAAAAGGGAAGGAAGAAGGAAGGAAGGGAAAATTAAAAAAGAAAGACAATATATAAATGAATAAAAAAAAAAATGGAAGGAAGGAAGAAAGGAAGAATGAAAAAGGAATGAAAGAAATCAAAATGAAAGAAAAAGAAAGAAAAATGAAACAAAATAAAGACAAGCAAAATAAAAAAAAAAAAAAAGACGGACATAAAAGAAGAAAATGAAAAAAAAAAAATTAAAGGAGAATGAAATAAAAAAAAAAAGAAAAAAAAAGAAAGAAAGAGAAAGAAAAAAAAAAAAAGGAAGGAAGGAAGAAAACAGAATGAAAGAAAGACGGAAAGAATGAAACAAAAATAAAGACAGGAATATGAAAATAAAAAAAAAAAAAAAACGGATTCAAAGAAAAGAGAATGAAAAAAAGAAAGAAAGAAAGAAAGAAAGAAAGAAAAAAAAAAAGAAAAATGAAAAAAAAAAGGAAAAAAGAAAACATGAGATGAAATAAGAATAAAAAAAGAATGAAACAAAAAAAAGAAAAATATGAAATGAAAAAAAAGAGGAGAAAAAAAGAGAATGAAAAAAAGAAAGAAAGAAAGAAAGAAAGAGAAAGAGAAAACGGAAAGTGTGACTTGAATAAAATAAAAAAAAAAAAAAAATATGAAAAAAAGGAAGGAATGAAAAAGAAAAAGAAAAGACAGAATGAAAAATGAAAAGAAAAAATTTAAAAA